TGTGTTTGTCGCTAGTGAAAACCAGGCTTGAGGGATACCGAGATCCAATATCACATTTAAGATTGTCCTCGCAGCAAAATGGTAGTCATTACTCCATTGAAATGAAATATGATTAGGTGCAAACAAACCGCGTAATATTTATTGCTTACACCTAATGTAAGCAGACCAGCAAATCAGAACGGAACTGAACAAAGGTGACTAAAACATCTTGATCAATATTATTCCGCCTTTTACACTCCGACGTCAAATCGCATGGCATTTTTCAAAAATGTCGCAGGGAGTAATGTATTTGTCAATCCAACTAAAATAGTGAAGAGTTTATGAAATGCAAGTTACTAAAAAGTGACTCTTTTTAATTTTGAGGTTGTAATGAAATCTCTGGGGACCTATTTTTATCATCACAAAGATATGCAGCCAAACAAATGGATATGACTACCAAGAAAGGGGATTTTGGCATTTTGCAACTTAAACTCAAAATTTCAGAGCATAACAGGTTGTCTTCTAATCAAATTTTTGCTATTTTGTTGCGTTATAGAGTGGTACAATTGTTTTTTTGTTTGTTTTTTCGTACCTTAGGTTTTGAATAACTTTAATTTGATCCTGCATGAACCTCCTGGAGGCACAATATAGGTGGGCATATATCTAAGAGTATCACTGGCAATGATGCATATCTTGAGACAAATTTCCTGAGATAAACACTAAAATATCTAGCTTATCACTGCACGACAAACGAATACTTCAAATTGCGCACATACACAAAATACTAAAAATGTTGCTGTATCAGTAAGGACGTCTATGTTACTTCAATATGAGAAGCTACAAGGCTTTGAGGTAAAGTCTAATAACCAACTATTTTTGTGTCATAGAGTGGCACAATTGTTTTCATTTCGTTTTTCGTACCTTAGGTTTTGAATAACTATGATCGTGCATGAACTTCCCGGAGGCACAATGTAGGTGGGCATATATCTAATAGTATCACTGGCAGTGATGGATATCTTGAGACAAACGTCCTGAGATAAACACTAAAATATGAGGCTTATCACCACAAAAAATATGCATGCTTCAAAAAG